TATCTATTATATAAAATAATATGGATAATAATTTTTCATTAAATTCAAGTAATATAGTGTACAATCTTGGATGAAAATTTTGAATTTCAATGAGCTGGTGTAAAGATCTCTATTACAAATATGACTTTTCTTATATCTTTTTGCGTGTATCTCTAGTATATCAATACTTAATACTTCTTTTGCATGTCAATAGTCAACATACAAATTTAAAAAAAAAGAAATATTTTTAACCATTCAAATTTAAGGGTTTAAACATTATCCCGTAACCATATTCTTCAAATATAGAGAAATAAAAAATAGTAATCGCATGCAAACGTTACAAATCCAAAATATAGTAAAAAATATGTAGATGATTGTATGGAATAAATTAAAAGAAAAAAATATTGTAACGGTTTTTGGATGGAGGTCATAAATTTTTTTATTAAATACAACCTATTTTTATTAAATGAACTCATATTATTATTAATTGAAGGCTGAATAAAATTAAATGAAGCTTGCCAACAATTATATATATATAGATGTGCGGTCTGTCACACATAAATGTGCAATATGTCTAACTCTAATGTGCAGCATTTCAGTCGCTATTGTGCTTATGTTTCAACCGAACTTTTGCCTAACCATATTAAAACTGAACCGAAATACATGATTTGTTCGGTCGGTTAACCATATTATCGTAATTATTATAAATCATTTATTTGTTTATATTATAAAAAGTATTTAATAATTGAATAATTTTATTTAATATTTTTACATTAGTTTTTATTGTAAATACCTAATATATGAAATACCAAAATTGATGATGATTTACAAAAAAAATAATGTACATTTTAGTTTAGTACTATTGTCCAATCTATCGAGCAGGTATTTTTATGTGCATTTCGATTTTAGAATGTTCAATAATGTGTATTTTTTATTAACATTATTGTGCACTTATTAATTTATGTATATATATTAAAACTATATCTAGTATTTATATTTTTTTTTATTTAATATTTGTTATTGTTGTCTGTTGAAATAAACGATATACGTAAATGATATAAAAATATATTTTTTTATTCAATTTTGATATATGTTTTTTTTTTCTTTTTAAAATAAAGATGAAATCGGACAGAACTATCAAAAAATTTAATATATGTATAATATGCACACCGTTGTGATAATGTGCATTATCTTATGCAATATTGTGCATTTGGTATAACACTGTCGTGCTTTCCGACAATCACTAACATGCAGTGCTGTATTTTTTTTTTATGTACCTAAATAATCAAATCTTTTTTCTTATTTATGTTATAAATTATATTAGTATTTCAATAGTTTTCATTGAATATTCTAATATTATATCTTAATTTAAAATACATAATATATATATATATATATATGTATTTAGAAAGAAAGAGTTTATTGGTTGGTGTGAAACTTACAAAATTATAAGATATATTGTTGTCGATTTCAGCTAACTAGTACAGAGTCCGTGCGATGTACGTGGTGCACAATTTTAAGGTCATTTATCCATTCAAGTATGCAAGCTTAAATGAATAAAGAAAAATGTACGGATATATATAGTAAGTGACCTGTGCGAGGCACGAGATATATTTATTTGGAAAATATTATATTATAAAATGCAATATTCAATAAAAGTTTTACAATACACAAGAAAATTGTACAATAAAATAGTATTCGAGAAATGAACAATCATATATTATTAAATACCTCATTTTACACAACATTATGAGTTTGATTATTGGGCAACTCGTCATTTTCACAAACTAATATCTTCAACCCCCTTCTATTAGTTACATGCGAAACAACAACATATAATTGGCCATGACTAAAGACATATTTCTCTAGAAAAAGACCAACGTGGGATAAAGACTGTCCCTGACTCTTGTTATGGTCATGTCATACGAAACCACAAGTGGGAACTGTCGCCAGCTAGAACTTAAATGAAACCTTAAGATTAGAAGGAGTAATATTCATTCTAGGAATCAACACTTTGTCGCCAGCATGATCGCCCGTCAATATCTTGCATTCAAACACATGAGCGGAGAGTTTGGTCACAACCAACCGTGTCACATTGCATAGTCCCATAGAATGGTCCATGTTTTGCAACAACATGACTGAAGTTACAATCTTTAACGAATTATAATTTTAACAAATAAAAAAAAATCGATTAAGATTTAACAATCACATGTTTTAAAAAATGGATTAAGATTTAAAAATAGATTAAAATACAATCATACACGTAATGTAGAATCAGTTAATACAAATTATAAATTAAACAAATAAAATTAAAAAAAAAAACGATTAATTAATTAACAATCATACGTTTATAAAAATCGATTAAGGTTTAAAAAATGATTAAAAAACAATCATACACGTAATGGAGAATCGGTTAAGCCAAATTATAAATTTAACAAATAAAATTAAAAACAATCGATTAAGGTTTAACAATCATACGTTTAAAAAATCGATTAAAAAACAATCATACACGTAATGTTTAAGCCAAATTATAAATTTAACAAATAAAATTTAAAAAATTGAAACTATACGTTTCATAGTTCGAAATTAAAAAAAAGTTCAAATAAATTGGCTTACAGTTTTATCATATAGAACTAACTCAAGATAAGATTTATATGTGCTGCCCAAGCCTATTAACTTGTTTGATTAAGTCAAAACTTTGATTCATTATTTTGAACTTAAGACTAACTGAGATATTTTTTGTTCGCAGAAAGTTGACAGTGGTGATGACGATGAGTCAATATTTTGAGATGTAATTTATAGATAATCGATAGAGTAGATATATATATATATTGCTGTTAATATTTTTATGAAAAAAAAAACTGAAAGTATGAAATCTGATTACATTACATCTAGAGGAATAAAATCAACACATATTTCTATACAATTTGTAAAAAGATAAGAACAAATTTCTATACATTTTGCACAGAAATCCTTAAAAAGATTGAATCTGCGTTTATTTTTTTTTTATTTCACTGGTTTTATGGGATTTTTTATGTAAAGATAAGAATGATTATTTTTTACTAAACTGATGTTATGAGATAAGACAAAAAAAAGGTAAATTAAATACTTGATAAAAATAATAAATGTTGTAATTAAGTTTGACTCCGATCTTATGAGATTGTTTTTACTAAAGTGATTTTATGAGATAAGTAAAATAAAAAATACGTAACTAAAATACTTGATAAAATTAAAAATTCATTAATTAAGTTTAATTTTTTCTACCTACTATATTTAGTAAATAGAATATCTTTTAATATAAGTATA